CTGCAAGGAGACGTATTGTGTGAAAAGAAATGTAAGATGTTGTTTAATTGCTTATATATTTAAGATCCACGTCAAGTTTTCAGTTTTGGCGGCAGTTCCTGTTTGTCTAGAAGTCTTGTCATCAGTATACATAGAGTTAACTACGGCAGATATGTCATATTTAATGCAGCCGAAACGTGTATTACAATGCCGTTATGTGGTGAATTTCAGAGAGAAAAGCAAGCACACTTGGAATAATGTATTATTTAATTGTTGTATACAGTCTATGGTTGCTACAGAGGATTGTGGGTAATGTCATGTCTTCGGCTATCCAAAACTCATAGAAAACGACTTGTTTCTCAGAATTGAAGGGGAAAACGTGACAAAAGCATTGTACACTAAAACCTATCAATGTCGTTTAATTAACAAGGATAATCTGGTGTTTTGAGTTGATGAGTAGTGGAGATATCACTGTCAAATCAATCGACAGTAAGGGGAATACTTACTTCCGGGTGTACAATTCTCCATTATCCAATGGGAATGGACGCTCACATTGCCTTTAACAGCCTCCGACACAAACGAATGCCGTGCTTCCCTAAGCGTCAAATACCGACGCCGATGGGAATACATTGCAATCAGTTGAAAGCTCTTTGCGTCCGTTTATGAAGCTGAAGGAGCCTCGGCGCGTCACAACTGGACGCCACGGGACCCTGACCAAGCGTCGCTCCTGGACGCTTAGGGAGTGAGAGTGTGTTGGCCATGCAGGATCCGGCGAGGGTGGGGCTGGGTCGCTTGCCATCCATTGAGCCTGCCATCGCCTCCCCGATTCTGGCCCCGGATGCCAGGCGCCCTCGGCCTCAGTGCAGGGTCACAAACGAGCTGCTCTGTAAGGCCTACGACACAGCGGCACGGGAACTCCCTCTCCCATCTGATACTGGCTGTCTCTACCTCTCTGCAGCAGGCTCCGGCTGAGCCTTCTTGCTGGGCCTCAGTGATGCATCACTGCAAGCCTTTGCCCTAATGCTAGGGAATTGGGACGAATCATGTCCTTATGGTGCAGACTCGTCGCCAGGTTTGGCCTGCTTAGTCACCACTGTCGGAGACATGTCCTCCGTAGTGTGCCAGTCGAGTCAGGGGAGCTGTTTGGGGCAGCTGCCCTGTAGGCACTGGAGCGTGCTGCCCAAGCTGGGCAGACCAGGCAGCAGCTCTCGGGTCTTTATAGGCCTGTGCCCACTCCCAGCAGGCCCAGGGGCCCCTCTAGCAGCCGCACTCAGCCACCAGCTTACAGTGGTGGTCTGCGCAGGTCCCGGCGGCCCACTCATCCGTTGTGCCCCCGGCTGCCGGCCTTCTAGGCGGCCTCGTGCCTCAGAGCCTTACCGGCCTCCCCCCAGCAGCAGCTCAGCTACTGGGCTGTCTGTACTTCCGGCCCTTGGGTGGTTTTCACCTTAACCCAGGGGTACGAACCGCAGTTCCGGCCCCTAGCCTTCGGCCGGGCCAAAATGATAGTCGTCAGCGATCCGGCAGATGCCCTAGCTCAAGCCCAAGAGTTGTCCGTCCTTCTGCCCAAGGAGGCAATCGAGCCAGTAGACCCTCTGCTTAGCCCAGGGGGTTCTACTCTGCGTACTTTCTCGTGGCCAAGAAAGTCGGCGGATTTCACCTGCTCTTGGACCTCAGAGGAATCGACAGATTCCTGGAGGTGCTGCCATTCCATATGCTGACCGCAGCACATGCTCAGGGGGAGTGGTTCGCAACCGTGCACTTTAGGGATGCCTACTTCCTCGTGGGCCGGGCAAGAGGGTGCCTTATATTCAGTTCCTCCGGCCCTTGGGTAGACTGACGGCTGCCTCAGCCGTTGGGCCCTTAGGCCCGCTGTCGTTGTGCCCCATGCAGATGTGGCTGATCAGCCTTCTCTTGGATGCCAAATGGCACAGGCACAGGAAAGTCAGAGCGTTGCAGCGTTGTCTCCACTCTCTGTCACGCTGGAGGGGCAGGCTCTATCTCCTGATGGGCGTGCCCATGGGCGCCATCCCATCCCCCCAGGAGACCGTCACCATAGGTGCATGTCTCTTAGGGTGGGGTGCAGTGCGGCAGGGCAGGACCGTTCAGGGTCAGTGGTCTGCCCAGGAGGGTGCACGCCATGTCAACGTACTAGAGCTTTGGGCTGTGCAGCTTGCACTCACGTACTTTCTACCCCAACTGAGGGGCAAGAATATGCATGTTCCTTGGGACAGCAGGTACACTGTTGCCCAGACGGCAGTCCCTTCTAGATAGTGGACGTTCTCACTCCACTCTGAATTTATGTGGCTGCTATTTCTGCCCGACATGTTCGGGTCGACGACGCCACGGCGGGGTGCCTCAGGTCGGTGTCCCTCTTCCTGAAGAGGGGCTTTACGGCAGCGTCCCCCTAGCACCCCGAGGGCTCCGGCTTGGGACCTGCCCCTGCTGCCGGATGCCCTATCATCTCCTCCCTTCGAGCCCCTGGCCCAGGTGGGGCTTTGGTGGCTGCCCACGAAGGCAGCATTTCTGCTTGCCATGGCCTCAGGGAGGCAAGTCGGGGAGTTACATGTCATCTCCATAAACGATACATGCCCGAGGTGGGACTCTCAGGTGTTGCCCTTGGCATTCCTGCCCAGGGTGCTTCCACAAACCCACTTCAATCAGCCTGCCCAGCTGGCACGCTTTGACATTCGGGAGAACGGCACGTCGAAGTTGCTGTGTCCTGTGGGTGCCCAAAGGGCGAATATCGAGGCTACTGCCTGTATACGGCAGTCGGAGCAACTCTTGTTTTTGCCATAGCGGCACTAAAGGAGGTGTGCCCTCTACCAGTGGCTGCCCCACTGGGTCGTCGATACCATCTCACATGCCTACGGGGCCAGTGGCCGCCCCCTGCCATCTGGGCTGAGATACCACTCTGCAAGGAGCATCTCAACATCTTGGGCTTCCCTGAGAGGGGCGCCCCTGGAGACCATCTGCGCCGCGGCGTCGTGGGCGTCTTCTGGCACATTCTCCAGTTGTTATCGGGTTAATGTCGCCACTCCCCATTCTTTGGGCGTGGTCCTTTTGCCGAGCTCCGCTGCTTCCAGTAGTGAGCCAGGGCTTGGATTCTTCATGACATGGTTGGTATAAGTCATCCAGTGCTAAAAGCACCGCCTCTGGCGGTCAGTAGGGACGAAATAGAACGATAGTTACGGCTGTAACTACGGTTCTATAAGTCCCGGATGACCGCCAGAGTTTCCTGTCACTCAGAACTCTTGTGTGCTCGCGAGAAGATTCTGGGAACAGATCCTCTGACGACACCGGCTGATATAGCCGGTGTCACGTGGATCACAGGTGACTTTGTTGTTATTGGTACTCGAGCTGCGCATGCACACGATGGACATATCCAGTGCTAAAAGCACCGCCTCTGGCGGTCATCCGGGACTCATAGAACCGTAGTTACAGCCGTAACTATCGTTTCGATCTCAGCAGCAAGTCATGTTTAAGCTTGGTTTTCTTTACCTAAACGTACATGATTGACATGTTGTTTTGTGTCTCTGTATTAGTGAAGCTGTGATTCTATGTAACTGGACATATAATACCCTTTACAATGTGTGCATAGCTCCTAAAAGAGACACTGTCAGTATTAAGAGAAGAACCGAAGTGCTGTGTATGATGGGAATTTACAGTGATTCAATATGCATGTAGGTTTCCTGGCTACAAAATGTTCTCAGACAGAAGGGTGTCGCCCTGACCATTGTCAGGCAATCATATGCTTATTTATTTAATCGTTTATTTGACGAGGGACAGTGCACATTGATGAACATTTAAAACAAATAATGCTTTAAAAACGTAAACATGCAGGATTTGAGCTTTGAGCTAGTTTCCATCCGTAGTCCCCTATGGATGTTAGGGTTTGTAATTAACATGCGGCGCTTCCCCTTCTGTCGGCCCCCCCACCCAATTTAGGACTGTAATGTGGATTGCCTTCCTTCCTGTGTCTCATCTCTATAAATGACATTGCTTTTCTGTGTAACGGGGTCAGATCCTGGTACTATCTACTAGTGCAGGACCTCTGTCCTTTCCAGCTGGAAATATGATTGATTCTGTTGAATGCTATAACTCTTTATTAAATAACACGACTTTGGTTTAAGCTTGTATATTTGTTCTTTTCTTAGCAGAAGGTGATTAAGTGTGGAATTTCCATCACACTGTGTTTCATGGGAACTGCTCTCTAAAACTCCCCCACCCAATTCACCTGTGGTCTGCATCACAACTAGTCTTTCCAGTTGCTCTTCCGTTCATCATCATCATCATCATCATTCATCACTCCAAATCTTTCTTGTGCACATTAAGCATCTTTTGAGTAACGTCTCTCCTGATTAGTTACATTTGGATTTCTGACTCTCTTCAGACCTGACGTTCAGCATACAAGTGGACGCGATTGTAAAGCATGCTCTCTGCGATTTGTGAATATTTAAAAAGTAAGATCATTCCCTCTTCAAGGTTAATTGAGATGTTTAAATTCCATATTTCTTTCTCATCTGCATTATTGTATAACACTCTTTACATGTCGCTGAGCCAGAAAGGCATGCACCTTAAACTGGTAAAACATTTAATTTACATACAATTTAGATAAATAGACATATTAGTATTTTTTTACATAAACCGTATTTCCTCACACATACTTTTACATTTTCCTTTTTACTTATAAGATCTCAGGGAGGTGTATGCCTGCTTTTAAATGCCCTATTTTAATTTTAAAAGCTGTTATTAGGTGCTTTTTTATGTGTTGAGAGTCGTTTTCACCAATGTTTCGTATTTTTATTGTTGCTTGTGTTATCTGGAGTTGACTCAAACATTGGTGAAGCACCTTTAAACCTTTACAAAAAACATCAGATCAATAAAGCTCATTTTCGTTTTTTTAATTATAACTTATGGCTATTAATCCTGATGAATTAGGGGGGAAAATACACACTCTTGTTTGTATTCATATTTTATTTTATTGACATGTTAATGTTACAGTTACAGACTGTAATACAGTACAAGGCCATCAGTATAAATATTCATGCGATAAACAACAAAACAGAAATTAATTAAGAACATGACAGGAAACTTAAAATACAGTATAAGATAGTCAAATATAACAAAGTAAACATTGTTAAATTAATTATGTTATATTAAGTTTTTACTGTGAATTAAATCGTAAATAGTGGTAAAAGTGCTTAATAGTTTAATGATTGACTTATCTTTTCTATCATGAATAGTTCCTAACCGTAAACAAACTTAAAGAATGATACTTAAAACGGTTGAATGTAAATATTTAACTTACATTTCCTGGAAAAGTGGTTTCAAAGCTAAAGAAAATAATAAAAATTCAATACATTTTCTTCATCTCCTTTAAATGCTTCACTGAAGCTACATTATTATTATTAATATGATTATTATTGTTGTACTGAGTGATATTTCCAAACTTCACGTGAAATTTCTTGGCATCCTCTTATGCTATTACGCACGTTTTAAATTTTGGTATGGCAAACATGTTGAACAATATTGCACAACTGACTGACAGAACCTGTTATGGTGAACATGTTACATGCACACTGAATAAATCTAAGGAATGTGACTCCCTATCGGCGGTGGATGGTCTCCGGCTGACTCTGGAGCCGGGTCCTGTTGGCCAGAGCTGCCTTTCGGGTCATGGTGGAGCAGCGGGTCAGGATCTCCTCTGTTTTGGGTCGAGGAGGCACCTGGGGAACGACTGATGATGTCCTAGAACATTTGGAGCTTGCAGATTCAGACCTCTCGTCGCTGGTATCGGAGCCACGTCGGTCTAAGAGGCTGAGATCAATGCTGCTGTCGCTTTGCTGAGGCGATGCTAAAGGACTTCCTATGTCTGCTAAGTTGGATGTGGATTCGAAGTCGGAGAAGCTGGTATCGGTGCTCGCGTTGCTCATGCTTCGTGCTCGGGCTTCTTCTGCATCTCTCTCCATCTGCGTCCGGGTCTCGGAGAGGACGTCCAGGGACCGGGCCTTGTGGAGACGCCCTCTGAACTGAGCTGCAGAATCACTTCGCAGATCGATGTCATCGCTGGATCGACGTAAAGCCGGAGCCTCCCTGCTGGAGGCCAGGTTCAGGGTGGAGCTGTGCAGCTTCCTCTGCAGGCTGTAGAGGCCGGCCCGAGGGTTGTTATAGGGCTGAAGGTTCATGGAAGGGGTGTAACCTGCCTTGCCATTGAATCTGGAGAGGATTACAAAAAAAAGATAATTGATTACAACTTTTGCAAACTATAATAACATCCTGATCAAGTTGAGAACTTATTTAGCATTTATTTATCAAATTGCACAACACCCCATTTCTAACTCTTTACATAGACAATAGTAGGTTTGTGATGCGTTTGCTTGAAAAGACAATAAAAGCATTCATAAGTGCTTCAACCAGCCTTTTTTAAATGTGCTCCGTGTTCCTATTCTCTATTGTTTGCAGTGCAGACAGATAAGATTCCATACCTGACGAGCCACCAGCCGTCGTCAGACTTCCTCAGCACCTCCACCACGGAGCCGATGGGCACAGACACCTCGTCGTGCTTCTTCGTTGTGTAACTCCTCACGGCACAGTACAGGTCACCTAGAGGTCACAAAGAAGATAACAAGATCAGAAATGTTGCAGTACAGTTAAAGACTAGAAGAGAATAGATGTATGTTAGCTTCCATTGGTCAAAGAGCAGACCCAGTGGTGATTCTTTATTCAAACTTGGCATCATATTATAAACTATGTGCACCTGGCATGTATTTATTGGCACAGCAATGTCAGAGCAATGTCAGGCTTGGATGGAATTTTAAGAAGCACTGTAGATACACTTGTCCTTAAATGAATGGTAAATGTGTTCATTGTATCTGTAAGGCAAGGCAAGGCAAGTTGATTGATATAGCACCTTTCAACACAAGGCATTTCAAGGTGCTTTACAAAAATGAAAGACATTCAGACAAAGGCATTTAAAAACAGTCGTTAAAAAGAAAAGATAATAAAAGAAACATTAAAAGAAAAAGTACATGAATAAAAAGTTACAGTGCAGTTTAAGATATGAATAGTTCACACAGAATTTCCATTTTACTGATGCCTTTCTTTAAGGTTTCTCTGAACATGAGCTGTGTACGCTTGTATGGCACATACGTCCCGAGCAGCATACACAGAGAAAACCAGCCAGGACAAAGTCCCCAGACACTGATTCCCTGGGGTTACTAGCCCCAAATGTTCATTAACCAAAAACGAAACACAACCGCTCAGTTTCAATTAAAAGCAGCGGCAATGTGTAAGATACATAAATGTAAAATGGCTTAAGTTACCCGAATTGTTAAACTTTTTAATGCTCAAAGAAGTGATTAAACTGTCAAATTGGATGAAGAAATCATTAAACAAGAATAATGTACATTTTTGTTCTTAGAATAGGATTTTATGAAGTTTATTTTAAGCATTTTAGTGTTCTAATTTTATTTCAATTTGCATTTAGTTGCATTGTTGAGTACAACTATAACATGTACTGTATGTACATTTCAATGTTTTTCCATAAAGAAGTTATGTGTACTTGTTCAATGAGGTCATTTCTGCATATTATAATTTGACTGAAAATGACACATACCTGCATGCTGGAATACAGTGTCTTCCTCATCCTCTCCGTCCAATAACTGCAGGTAGGGAGCAGGAAACCAAGCCAAACCCTTTGAGTCGTTCTCAACCAGCCACCAACCTGGAGAGGAAATAAAACAACCGTTAAGCATGACAGAAATACAGAAAGAGCAGCTCAAGTTTGTTTAGCTGATTTCCAGTAACCATCTACATGAAAGCTGAGGCACTGACCTGCAGGATCTTTGATCAGCACGTCCAGCGTCTCGTCCACAGCGACCTTAAACGGACGATTCTTGGTATCTTTTGTCTCGTAGGCGGCCACGCAGGAGTAAGTCTGGGTGACAAACGGGTGAGTGACGCTGCCTGTAGGCTGGTGAGAAACTTCTCCTCCTCCACCATCAGGCAGATCATCAGACATCAGGATCATGATGCTGTGTGAGAGAGAAATCAGTCATTTAATAATCAAGAACTCATTTAAACTCTCTTGTCATTTGATCTGAAACTCTGGTGTGAGAACTGACCTGTTCTTGGTGAAGTCTGGCAGCAGGTCGTGATCTTTGGGCATGAAGAACTGAGTCACCTCTGGGGTCCGTGTCACACTTTGATCGCACTTCAGAAGTTTCTCGCAGTAGCTCTCCAGGAACTTCATGCGTTGGATGGAGCGCTTGGATCCTTTCTTCTGGCTGCTCTTCCTGGCCTGTCCTGCAGAGAGGAGAGGAACATTTTTCAAGATTATTACCAGACTGTAAAGAGAGCAGCGTCTAGTCCAAACTGTAAATGTGTTCACTGATTCATGAAGGACACAGTCATAGGGAAGGGAAACGCCCAAAGATTATTACCAGACTGGCTGAGAAATAAGGTGAAATACTATATTTATACAGCATTTTTCTTGGAAAGTACAAAATGTAATATCCATCTAATTGCTTCAAACTAAGTTAAAACTGAAAAACAGAAGACATTAGACAATACTAAATGTTTGCAGTGTTATTAAACTCTTGTAGTTGGCTTTTCCTCAAATTATCTGCTGCAAATGCACAATTTCTGTGTAAGGAGACCATTAAAATAGACCTTTTCTAACATACATTTGAACTATTCTTACCTCTAAATTTGGGAATCACTCTGTCATTTCTCTTGAAAATGTTCATGATAGGGAATCTCTTCTTCAGCTGCCTCTGTTTGAAAGAAAAAAAAAACATTTATTATTTCTACAAAATAAACACCAATCTAAGAACATGTGTGATTTCTTTAGTTTTTGGGGACTTACATGGCATTTCCTGAACTCCTGGAAGGACCTGTAAATGATCACTTCAGTGTTGTCCGACCACAACACAGAAATCATGAACATCTGTGGAGAAATACAAATAATGAAGGATGAGGGATGACATTGTTTACACAAATACAGAAAATCACACAGTTAAATCTTCAGTTAAATCACACCTGTTGTGTTAACTCACCTTGAGTTTAGGTGTGTCCCTGTGCACAGCTCCAATAATGCGAGCACTGATTACAACGCGTTGATCCCCAGCCATTGTGTGAAGGGTGTGTCTCAGCTCTGTGGATGAATAGCAGCTGTATGGTCTGCAGGTGAGCTGTTTCTTCTGCTGGATCACAGAGTCTGCAGCAGTACATATACCCTGCTAATAATGGAGGCGGAGTCAGAGGCAGGGAGAAAAAAGGATGGATACACAGACAGAGGCGGGGTCAGGTAGGAACTTCCACTTCTCCATCGATGACCAATACTGAAATCACACAAGACAATCACAAAGCTGTAAAAACTCGTTTCCTTAGAGAAAAACTCCCAGGTGATGAAATTCATTTATAAAAAAATGTTTTAAAACAAAAAGTTAAATATAGTTGCACATCTCTGACTTACAGACCAATTTATTTTAATACCCTCACACTCACGCAATTGTTGAATACTCAACAGAATTCTACAAAATAATCAGCTAACACAGAGACAATGGTCTTCTTTAGTATTCACAATGCACAAGAGCAGACAACAAACTAGTAAATTAATAGTTATTAAATGAGCAGCCAACAATCAAAATTATGAAGTTACTGTTTAAGGACATTACAGGCAAAAATATCGTTTTTTCATGTACTTGTTATTTTGGTCTATTTTGCTTCCATGTTTTCTTTCACTCTAATGGAAATAAAACTTCCAAGAAACACATAAATGGTGTTCGTTTTACTACCATGTCTGAATTCATCTATAGATTTAAAGCTAATCTGCATATTTAAACATAACATTTCAGGGGAAAATATTGACTTGACGTAAGTATCTATCTGGAGAAGTTGTGAGGTGATGTGTTTTTTTGTTTTATCCATTTTACCTGCAATGCCTTGGTAACTGCATGCAAATAAGCGCATTTTAATTAGGCCTAGTTAACGCTTAATTTGCATATCAATGTGGCGATTGTGATGACGTTATTAGATACACATTTTACTGTATTCACTTTAAGGCCCCGGCTCCACGAGGACAAATACGGCAAAACGCATCGGAGAAACGCAAATGCAACCGCAAAAAACCTTCCGTCCCCACGCAATATACACCGGATTGTGTCAAGCTCCACGAGACGGCTCCGTTTACATCCAAACGCTGGAAAAGCTACAGTACATATGCCGAACCTGTACGTGGCGCTGTAACTTCCTCCACAAAAGCAGCAACTTCCTCCACAAAATCAGCGAAGAAGAATGGTTGTCATGGCTGCACTTCTGTGTATTCTCCGCGGTGGGGGCCGACAGAACCGGGCAGAGTTTTTCGCCGGTCAGCGTGTGTTAAAGTTTAAATCTTCCGGACAAAATTATAAAAGTGCCGGTCAAAGGTCTTCATTGTTATTTATTGAGCTTTAAAACAAATGAATAACGACTATATAATGATATATAATCATCAAATACACAGAGCCTGTCTCTTTTTCCTCTCTTCTCACAGCGTCAGTGTCTGTCTCATGCAGCAGCTGATCCTGTAATGAGTGACCCGACAGTAAAAATGAACATATTTATAACTAGTTTAGGTAGTTTGAGAGGTAATTAAAATAGCTAAGGGTGATGATCTGACTTGAACTGTGTGTTTTGCTCCCGCTGCATCACAGCGGCAGGAGCTGCGTGTCTCCGTCCTGTCAGATTAGACTTCACTCGCGTTTATGTCCATATCGAGATAAAGATAAATAATCTGAATTCAAGGAGGAGCTCCTGTAGATGTTGCACAAAGAACTGTAGCATGGTCAGTAGCGACTGGAACACGATAGCAACCCTGCGGGGGAGAGGCGGGGAGAGGCGGGGCTATAAAAACGAATGACCGTATAGGCGACTCCACGGCCCCGTTGGACCCCCCAGAGCGCTCTGTTCCCAGATCTATCCACCTTTGGACCCGTTGTCGTTTGCGGGGTCTGTTTCTACGTTTCCCTTACGGCGTCGTGGAGCTTAGAGGGCTATACGCATGAGAAATATGCGGATTCAACCAGTTTTCGTCCTCGTGGAGCCGGGGCCTAAGTGTCTCCCCTTAAGTACAGTACATTAGCCTGTATGCCCATGATAAATTGCCTTAGCTAAACCTTCAGCTAATTTATCCATTAGCTAGTAGCCTACCTTAGTTAACTATGTTTGTTATTGTCTTTTAGCTAATTAGCTGTAAACTTGAGGCACTGGCAGTTTAGTAATTTGTTCATCACTACTCACCTTCAAAATAAACCAAGAAAAGCCAGCATAACATGGAACAGTAAAGTGGGAGGTGCTGCTACCTGTCTGTCTGAAGGGACTGCCCCGCTGTGCACGAGACGTGGAGGGAGGGAGGGAGGGAGAGCTACGGAACTGCACAGTCTAATCTCCCGACCTGATATGTTAATTTTGTATTCAATCCATATATTTTTGGAAAGGGAAACTGTGCGCAAACAGCAGTAGATATATATTCATTCATAAAAAATAAAAAGAAGGGGGAAAAAAGAACACTTTCTCTGGAAGAAGAAAAAGGGCAGGGGCTCAAGCCCACTTTGATGATGTCTATGTGTGCACGTGCTCACCAGACAGAAATAATGTTGTAGTGGTATCATTAACCCTTTATGGGATTGTTTTACAAAATACTTTTAACAATTTCATGTCATTTCTGACCAGAATAATGTCTATATATAGCATAATATCAGCTGATGCACAAGGAAACAAATTGATCTCTATATTATCTTGACACTAATATTTTGACCCCTATTTTACTAACCAGTAGGAGCCATTTTAACTGCTTTACTTGCCCAGATGTACTCTTCATGATAGTGTCTCTGTAATAATATCTTGTTTATGTTAAAGGACTCTATTTTGCAATACCAAATGGATCAAAACCCACATGATTGTGTGATAGTGTGAACAGAAATTTGACATTGACGTCCAACAAAAATAAATTCCTTTCATGAGCAAAAATCATACATTTTTAGGTTGGCTTGTTTTTTATCAGCATCCAAACTTCGCATAAATATAAACCTACAAAAAACTTTAAGTGTGCGGATAGGCTCAAATAGGTAGATGAGTCTGAGCTGTACTGTAGACAGAAAACCAAGTGAATGTTTTACTTGCATAACTCACTGTCGTTAGCTGTCACAATAGGCAGCTAAAAGCTAAGCTAAACTCAAGGCCCGGGGGCCAAATCAGGCCATTGGTGGATTTAATTTCGGCCCGCAGGATCATTTCTAATTACTGTTAGATCTGGCCCGCCGGTATATTGCACGCACACCTTCACTCAATCCTGAGGGTTTCCTCAGCTCAGAGCCTGACCCCAAACATTGATGAACTTGCACCCAAGATGAGATGCCAAGTATCTGGCTTGAACTAGCATCACAGAGCAGCACACTGAGTTTCAATGGATGTTTCCTTCTGCACTTTTTCTTGAGACAACAGGGCATGTTTGGTTTTTTCTTTGAGGGAAATAGTTTTTTTGAAGCTGTTGTTGGCCTGTGGAAAAATGTAATCATAAGAAATGACTCTGCAGATAGAGCCATAAGAAATTAATGCAACTGATTATTTAATGTTTAATGATTAAGCCATGCAAGTCTAAGTACACACGGCCGGTACAGTGAAACTGCGAATGGCTCATTAAATTAGGCAATAATTTAAGCTTTGTTAGTTTAATATGTGCAATAAGTTCACTTCAATAAGTTTTGCAATACACATTGAACCAGACCGGCCCTCGACTAGAACCGATTTTATTATTTTGGCCCACTGTGTATTTGAGTTTGACACCCCTGGGCTAGCCCATCGTAGACTTAAGTCAGTCTCAGACTTGATCCTGATAAAACAGGGTTGAGCCCTTAAACCTTTGTCATAACAAGAATTATCATGCCTCATTCGCGAGTTTTAGAGGTTCCGCTAGACAGAATATGTTACCTTTGAACAGAGATAAGTTAGCTTTTCCCAGTCTTAAATGCTACACTAAGCTAACAGCTTCCTTGCTGTGGCTTCATATTAACAGATAGACATGAGAGAAGTCTTTATCTTGGCAGGTAAGAACATCAGGGTAATTCCCAAAATGTCAACATTTCCTTCATCTGTCCAATAGTAGGGGCATTTTTATTTTCTGGGAGGCTAGCAAACATGTTATTACATTCTCAAGAATTGATGACATGCTCTCCTTCAATCGCTTCCTGGCATCTCCTGCATCTTCAACTCCCATAATGAAAACCTCTTTACACGTGCAATCACTTCACACTTGTCATCTGGCAGCAATATCCCTTATCAGGAGCAAGTGTGGAGAGCTGTGTGCGTTTGTTGAGACTGACCAAATACGTATGAGTGTGCATGTGTGTGTGTGTGTGTGTGTGTGTGTGTGTGGGTGGCGGGGGGTTCGAGGGTGAAGAAAGCAGGTGTTTCTTCAAAGTGAGGATTGCATCAGAGGTCCAGAGTCTAAGGGGGTTATCCCGACCTCTCATCAGATGGACGTGGGTGTGCAGTCTTTGTCTGAAGGGATGCCAGGACTTTATCTCACACACACACACACACACACACACACACACACACACACACACACACACACACACACCCTGCAGACCACTGTAAAAGGTCAGGACTGTCCAATTGTTATGTATAACCCAATAAGATGCCAACACCTGTGTGAAAGCCACATGAGGACAGAGAACAATTGAGAACCTTCACTCTGGATTTTATTGCGCATATGTTTGTGACGCAATAGATGACTTATATGTTGGCACGAAACAAAGGACATTCAGTCCAAATGTACACAGTCATAAAATCCATCTATCACCACATTATACATTCACACAAAGCATTAGACCAAATGTGGGTGGAGATGTGGAGTTTCCATTTATGGCATGATAATAATCTTTGCTATGTTTCTGACAGCGCTCAGATTAGATCAGTGAAGGTTTTAACATCATGAGAGACTAGTGGAGCATATGGCGTGTTTCCATTCAGTACAAATGTACATAGTGTCCAGCACATTTCAAGTGAGCTTTTCAATGCATTCAAGAGACATTCAATGCAAACACGATTGAATATCAATACAGAAAGTAAAATTATAGGACATAATAGAGATGTGTGAAATGTGACACAACAATAACCCATCCAAATATAGGCTTGAACACTAAACAGATTTACAATATAGCAC